TGCTGTGGAAAGTCTTCAAACCGCCCTTTTTTACAATGATCACTTTATTCCAGGAAGCAAACGAGAAGTGCCTTCCTTCAAAGAGAAACTTGAGGTGGACGGCCAAGAGAAATACAGGGTGTATATCAATGTAGGCCATGGAATTGACGATGATGATTTGGCTAAATTCTTGATCGCCAACGTCATTGCAGACATTTATGGTGACCTTCTTGGAAAGAATGCATGGCTAATTCCTGAGATGTTGCGTTGTCCACTCAGTAATATATGGTCATTGTTAGATAAAACAGGTATCCGACAAGATGACAGCTACAAGGTAGCAGAAATGGATATCTATCTAGAGCCGGGAACCTTTATTCCAATCGACGAGCACCATCTACTAAATGACGCCTTTGCAGAATTTACACCAGGGGAACTTGTAGGTTATCAGCTACACGACCCGAGCCTACAACTTGAGGAAGGCGTTGCGACGTACATCTACGCTGAGATTATTGAGGAGCTTGACGTGATCGATCAAGATTTCATTTACCTGACGAAGATGTACTTAATCAACATTGGAAACGACAAAGAACCAGTAGAGGTCAATTCTGCCTTTTTGTACAAATTACACCGCATACAAGAGATATCTCATCAGGCAACTAAACTCCCCAGATACAGTAATAGAGAAGAGGTTTTTGGTGAGATCTCAAAGATACTGGAGGATGCATGGACAATACGAGAAGAACACACACGACAAATCGTGAAGCGGCTAGTTCTACGTTGGCACCCAGAGAAAAATTTTGGAGATGAATTGGAAGAATTCTGAGAAAAGGCATTTGAGTACATCAAGAACGAAATAATTCGACTGGGCGGTTCATACGACGAATACATTGAGGCCTGGGTAACGCGTGCAAGAGAGCATCGTTTGCAGCATGATAAATACATAGAAAGGTTCCTCCAAGAGTACGGGCCTTGGGAATCTTCATCAGATCGCAGGCCATGGCATAATATTCCTCCAAGCTTCAGCAAAAGAAACCCTCAGCCGGGAGAGGCTAGACGTTGGCTCAAACAGGCTGAAGCTGACCTTACGGCCGTTACAAACGACATTGATTGCAGCAGACCTTCCTATGAGTGGGCTTGCTTTAAGTGCCATCAGGTAAAAATAGTTTTATGCCACCGTAAAGATCATTAATTGCCTGGCAGCGATATTGTTTAGCTTGTTAAAAAAAAAACTTTTGAGATCTCGCACTGTTAACGATTAAATATTTCGTTATACAACTGAGTTTACAAAATAATATTCATAATATACTTTAGAACACTTGGAATCTCTGTGAAGTCCTTCTTTGTTGTTCCGCTCTTTCCTTGTTTGAACTGTCACCGTTCTAAGTTGTCATTATTGGTAACCAGTCTGCCTGGCCTGTTGCAATACTTTGCATAATTTTGTTTTCATATAGGCAGCAGAGAAGGCACTAAAGGCGACTCAGTACACAATAGATGCTAACAATACTAGGGACCACAACTTGGTTAGGAATTGTATTGATTTGAATGACTCCATGTTAACCAACTTAGCAAGAGATCTGGAGAGACTTGTTGGTTGCTCGGCGCGCATGCGATATCCAGACCAGGTGTTCGAAGCACCCAAGATCCCTAACGAAGTTTACACCGCTCAGATGGCTCAGCAGGCCTTACAGCTTTCAGAGAGTATCGTGATGCGAGTCAAAGACAGGATACCCTAAGGTAGATGCTAAATTAAAGTACTAATGACGAAATAAGGGGCATTTTACTAAAAGAACCCATTTTTAGGCCCGATACATTCTTGGGCAAGACACTTTAATCTCGCAGTGCCTCTCTCCACCCAGGAGTATAAATGGGTGCCGGCAAATTGTTGGGGGCAGGAGGGGTGGGAGGGAGAATCTCACAGAATGCTAGGGTAACCCCGCGATAGATTAACATCCCATCTAGGGGGAGCAGCAATACTCCTGGCCGCTTCATGCTACGGAAACCGAGGATAAGCACCGAACTATAAGTACAATACTAACTACTTATTAACCAAAGTGACTGAG